TCACTCCAAAAATAGCATTTCTTTCTTATGATTTAACTACAGTAAAATAGCTGCTTGAACTTGCAAGCAATGAGAGGAGGTCCTTAAAGGCGACACTTGCGAAGGGGTTACAAACTCTTGCCTATGTTCGCAATGCGCCTGTACCTTATAAACCGCCTTCTGCGGTCTCAAACGCTCTCATCTGAATTAATTTCTGACATCATGGTCTCATATCACGCTTACGGACTTAAAATGCGCTCAAAAGGCACAAAAGTCAGTCCCGAATCTAAAGAAAACACCTTTTTTCTGTCAAATGTTTATAATTAGTTGTGTATAATTAGTAGGCCTTCAATTTAAGTACCCCATTGGGATGGGAAGGTAATTATTCCCTGTACAAGAAGGCCTACTTTTTCTGGTAATTTATGTTCCCTCCATTTCTGACTACCAATTGTTCCACTGAATAAATGTTCTATTAGAGTAAGTGAAAGCGAAGCTGTTTCAGCTTATTCACAGCTTAATAGCGAGACATTACCTAGGAACGCAAGCATCTTAATTAAGCTAATTCAACGACGTCTCCTTTGAGCAGTCCCCCGACGTCGCCCACCACAACGACTTTCGGTGTGCGCTAGCATCCCGTTAGATGTGCCGCCTCTTCGTGGTATGCGCTGTGCCAGGCTGCTGCAACTTATGGACACTTCAGAGATCACTCAGAACTGTGCAATACTTTATATCGCCCATCTTTTAAATAATACAATGCTGGAATAAGGCAGGCTTGATCAATCGTAGGATTTTCTAGAGAATGAAGCAAAAGTCAGTTCAACATACATATAACTTAAAAGTGGGACTTTGCCTAGAAAAATGGGGAGGATAATCAAACATTCTCGGCAAAGTCATGTGGCTCAACTACCGCCTTTGCTTGGCCGCGCTAAAGCCATTTCAACGAAGCCTTTGTTGACTCATTTTCTTTGCCCTTCCTAACATCATTAACAAAACTAACTCTTAAAAGCGTATGAAGGAGGAGAGCATCGACACTACACCTCGCAAGTGGCTTATCAGTAAAAGATACCCTAAATGGACTACCTGTGCGTCAAATTGGTGGTATGCTGTTCTTGCTCCATCAGGAGGATTATTTTATTGGGCAACAGGCATGTCGGTCTTTATTATATGCTTCTAGATGCAGGGTTTCTCTACCATTAGGAATGGGCGAAGTCGTAAGGGCCTTCTTCTGGGTAGCAACGAATGTCGACCACCATCCTACTCATTTTATTCAAGGTATTTAGGAAGCTACGGAAACAAGTAATGCTTTCCGGTAAAGAAAAATCTAGGTCGAATTTGGGACCTAGTATATCACACAGTTCAATAGTAGATCAAATCAGTACGCAGCCCACCTCTTCCCTTCTCCGGAGCGTCGGATCATCGCATACGGTCAGTATCTTACGTCCCGCACCACATAGAAATTGTGGACCATCAACGCCAGTCATCCATCCTTCTCACAGGTCAGGAGGTATTTGATCCCAAAGTTACCGGTGCATCTCGGCTATTCAAGCGCATTCGCAGTTTCGTTTTGTTTGTGAAGAATAGTAAAGAAGAGCGAAATACGCTATTTTGGTGCTGCTTGACACTGGATGATGCCCCATAACGAGGGAACCTCTTAAGTTAATCGGTACCAGTGAGGAAGTTGGCTTAAAAGCAAAGCAACTAAAAACAGGAGCAATGCTTGAAGTTGTTTAATTAAGTAAAGTATTTCCAATCGACTTCTCCGTGCCTAGTGGTTCAAATTCCAGTGCAGATCATACATCCACTCATCTGTCCATTCCATATGAACCCAGTATCCATCCATCCCTTGTACATCCATCTATCAATCCATACATCGGTATAGCCATCCACCTGTCTATCCTATACCCATTCCATATCAGTATTATATCCATCCCACCATCAATTTGTGCATCCATTTTGCATCCATTTAGCATTTATCTCGTAGCCAACCCGATTTATCTGTCCGTCAATCCCCTATCCATCTCGTAACCACTCATCTATCCAATCCAGATCCTTTCCTAAACCATCTCGGATCATTCTTTATGCATCCACACCAAATTCATCCTGCAGCCATCCAGTATGCCTCCCGCATCCATCTCGATTCCTATCAGACGGTAGGGATGTTGATGTGCTATCGCCTGACCAAGCAGTTGACATCGTCATAAGGGCATCGTGGATTGCTATAAAATGGACTTTTCCAAATGCTTTAAATCCACCGCCACAAGATTAGGCTTAAATTCAGGTTGATGTATACTTTTGTTCATAAAATAAATTTTTTTGCATAGAATGTTTTTTGACGCAGATCTATTGGTTAAATTCCAAGGTAGCGGGGGCGTGGCGGAGAAGGCAAAATGAAAGAGGTTCGAATCGGCCTGTTGATTTAAAAAAAACAAGTTAGAAATACTAGAACTTTAATAAAGACTTTTTTAACAAAGAGGCTGGCTGATTTTTGTGGTTATGTGACTTTGTCTTTCAAATTCGAGGGACTTGTTAAATATATTCGCTGTTCCGGGAGGCTATGTACCACCACTTGACGGTAGCACTCCCGTTCAGATTGGATCGAGGTAATGGAATTGCCACAATTTTGTATTTACTTAGGATTTTGGAAAGGATGACCGATACATTGTTCCCCTTTTTCATGACTTTCCCATTCTTGTTTGAGTGTGCCTCTGATGACCGGGGCAGACATAGCTAAAACATTAAATTTTCATCGCCTTTTTACAGTTGTAAGGGTCGTCTCTTAGCTGGAGGGCGGTGACTCTTGCGGACTTGACACAGTGCGCAGAAGGACGTAATTTATGCGCTACAAAAATGTGTCACGGCAATTCTCGTGACACCGCATTAAGGTGGTTGCGGCAAAGCACAATGACCCATTTGTCTCTAGAAGGAATGCAGTGAAAACTGGCTGGTAATTACTGCAAACAGGCAAAAGAAGCTACCTTAAAACCTCAAAACAACTCATTTCTCTACTGCAAAAATACGTTAAGAAGGCACTAAGGGAGATTAAGTGCCTTCATCACTGTGAGTCTGTCACCGGCGAGGACAAATTCATCAGCTAAAAGATCAACCCCTCCTATTTACGTACAACTTTTACAGCAGGCAGACAGTTCTGCTGTCTTTTTAGCTGATCACTACTTTTACTAAAAGTATTTTCTTTTATGAAAAATGGCTGTCATATGTCATTAGCTAGTGTGATGGCGTGGGTAAGGTTTTAACGCAAACGCCTCAAAAAATCCTTCACTTCACCTGATTAACTGGTTGGAGGGTGAAGTGGCAGTCTACTGTGTGAAGACAAAATAATATCAGGACACTTTAGAGACCAAATCCAAACAAAACCTCTCCTCTTTACCCCTCGTTCTCTTAATCACCTCCTGTCTTTTAAGCAAACTTGGAAACACCAGGCGAAGTGTGGACACTTCGCATGAATGGCACTAGCATTTAATTTTGAAGAGATCCACCTCTCACATTCACCTCTCCATCGATGCCTTCGTCAGTGGCTGTAAGGCACTCATACATCGACCTCAAAGGGAAGACAATTAACGTCCCTTACCGAGCACACAGCCCAACAAAGAAGGAAGAAGTTGTGCCCCGAAAATGTGCACATCTATTCTTTTCAGTGATTCTGGTACCTGCATTTAAAGGTGATAACTGGAAAGGAAAGTAGTGGCACGCAACACGTCTAGACACACGGCGGTACCACGACTCCTTTACCACTTTCGCTTTTATCAAAGAAAACAGGGACATTCAACACAAAGGGGGATCCGAGAGATTTGTGGAAGAAGAAAGGGAGCAATGAAGTCCGATACATGTCACCCTTGTTTCCTCGTCCTCGACTGTCATCTTTTTCAGATTAACTGTATTGTCTGTTTGTCTGTCTTGTCACCCAGCATAAGCCAGATCTCCCCGGTTGCGGGGTTTCGTGGCCTTTTGGCATAGAAGGATCCCTCTCTTGTACACTGTTATAATGAGAGGTCGTACATATCTGCATTGATGAGACGTCCAGCGATGGGCCTCCCGAGAGCTGACTACGGAGTTGACTGGAATCTTCATGAAGGCAGGCACACGGTTAGCCATCTTTGACGAGCTAACTCCGTAGGGAGCTTCGCCCGTAGGCACAAGATATGGTCACGCGAATCTGACCGCAACCAGCCACCTTCCTAACTCCTGACCACCCTGATTAGCGGTGTACAGCAGACTGGGCTGAACTGGACCTAAACGGATAGCACTGACCCTAATTTGGCATACAAATAAGGAAGAAGAGAGTTGGAAAATATTAAGGCGATATACAATTTGTTTGGACAGACAAACAGTAAAATCCATGCTAGGGGAAACATGCGCCAACAACTCGTTTTTAGTAGTATTTAGGTGACCCAATGTAAGACGGAATGGAAGTAACTTTCCTGATTTGATCACGCAAGTGTAGATAAAGCAGAAAAGAAACTATTAAAGTAGATTTTGATCCTAAATAACTATCAAAATAAAGAGATGAGAAGAAAAAAGGTCTTTGCTGATGAATCATGGCATCGAATGATGCAGCGGTTCTTACCATGGTGAATTGAAGAGAGGAAAAATGATCCTGCTTTATTTTTCGATAGAGTTAAACACAATACAATACATATCTACCTAAAAGAGGCGAGATAAAAAGCTGTGGAAGCAGGACCAATTGCTGGTGCATGCATCACAATACATAAGGATGGGTCCTAAGAACTACCAATAGATGGTTGTTCACTACTTTCATCTCACACATCTGTAAAACCCGAATGACATGCTGACGAGCTGGTTGAAAGCCCCTCAACAAGTCTCAAAGAAGAGCTACAATCTCCTTTCAAGCGATGCTCTACATTTATTTAACTCTTAGTCATGTCATTCTTCATTGTTGATATTAAGGTGCCAACCATGTCATGCGAACGCCTGTTAACAAATGTCACTCCCTTTTATCAACTAAAGCTGGATCTTTGATAACAGCTCTTTGAGGTCAGATGAACCTACAAACGTCCCACCATGGACTCCATCGTGTAGCCTGTGGGAGAATGGCACATCTCTCCCTTATTTTCGATTTCCACCATGAATCCAAGATGGTTGATGGTGACGGTCCACCGATCCTTCAGCACTATTAGGGATAAACCGACAGCTGCCTTAGCGGCAGCGATAAGTGACTTCCAACATGAGGAACAGAAGGTCTACTTTTACTGGTTAGCTATTACGTCTAAACATTGAAGATGGAAGGCGCTGTCAAAGTCGGACATCGCATGAGCAATGGCCTTCGAATCCCCTAAATACTTTGTGCCCATTGGAAGGGAACATGAATGAAAGTGAAGTTAAGGAGGAGGAAGAAATGCAAACGAAAAGAAGGGCAAAAAAATATTTTCCTCAATTTTCCCTTTGTCAAAAACAAAGTTATGCTATCTAACCAGGTTGACAAGGCAAAAAGACAAACGTGTAATATTTGTTTTTCTGTTTGTTTACTTTCCCCACATGTTATTTGGCTTTACACATGAATTACTTGTTCTGGTGGGCGCAGAAAATAGGCGGGATGACTGGTTACAAAAAAAACCCGATTTTTATAGATGATAGGAGAGGGTGGAAGAAATGTAGTACATCTTTCTCCGGAAGTCTTCAAAAAAAGGTTGGAATTTTCCTGTCCCTCTATCGACGAGGGAGCCGCAAGAGGTGTTTTACTTAACTTTCCTTATTCACGAAACCCAACAATCTTAATCTTTCCCTTTTACACGATACTTACCCTCCCAATATGAACCACTTTTCTGCCTGAACGATTTTTATAGGAAAGAATTCCCCGTTCTTCGAAACAATATTTTTAGAAGACATCTAAAGCTCAGCGAGGATTTACCTGTCAAGGATTTGGAAAGCGTCAGACAACTTAGTAATCCCCTTTTCCCACAAAGTTACTTATATCACCCTCTCAGAGCACAAGAACACCCACAAAACAACCCCTTTTTGTGTCACCTTGTCGAGCTTTTGAGGCTACGGCAGCTGAGTTCAAGGGACTGGATCGTTGGGACCAATTTCAGCATCTGCAATGAAGCAGCCACTATGTTTACTTCCTAATGCAGTTGAGGAAATATGATAACGTTAAATTTTGTAAAACAATTCTTAGGTTTTGTTTTACCAAGCGATTGGATAAGACTTCCAACCACTACCTGGTGGAACACTCCTATACCCCCACTTCTTGAGTCCATCACCCTAGCAACTTCAAACGTTTACACATTCTACGCTTACTAATAATAATTAAAAGATAACAAAAAGGTGAAAATAAGCCTTCTTTCCTACTTACATTGCATAAAATTTTGTTAATAAGTTTGAATGTATTAATGTTATTCATGGAGCAAACTAGCGAGTCACTGCTGGCAATGGGAAAAGACAACTGTCTTCACAAAGAAACTTTATTTCTTATAGCTGTAGTAGTCATAGAGTCATCTTCTTGTCCAAATTGCCTTAAATTTGGCACTCTGAATATTTCCATGTTAATCGGAACCGCACAGTGGTAAAATAAATAAGTTATTCTGTTTTGGGTATTTATGCTTGATATAAGAAGTTGGAAACATGTAAAATCTTTTTTAAGTCCACCTGGAAGTCAGGCAACGATTGTCATTGTTTAGTGCGGATGAAGCCGATTCTTCATTGATGCATAATGAGGAGTACATCGGTGGTGATGGGTGTGGTACATTCTCTGTTTAAGTACAGAGTCATCTTATAAGGAGTAATAAAATGGCAACAAATTTTCTCCTCAGTAAGGCAATGCGCTGGTCATTGATGAAGCAGTCTTTTCACAAATAGAGCGTGCGGTAGGGCCTCTTTGCATTGAATTTCGAAATAAATGCCCTTTTTGGGAAATTTCGCATTTCACTAGAGCACACGAAACTGTGCTTTATAAAAAATGAATCAGGAACACTTCCTGGAGCTTTTGGAAAGATCCTAATTTACTGTAATGAGAAAAGTCAAGTCTACTTTGCTAAAGCGGAAAAAGGGGGAGGATTGATAAATGCCTCCAATCTAGAAATTCCGTAATGAAAACAAACCCATATTTGCGCCACCTTCGTTTGTTTTGTAAAAGATTGTATAAAATGATTTGGATCTGTTGTGAGAGGAAGCTTGTTTGTGTGTTTGTTTATTTAACTGCCTCTATAGGTAAATTAGCCTAAATGAAGCGTCACTTTTGAGTCAAATGAATGATGTCATACTGTTTATGATTTCAGGACTTACTTTATGGGAAATGTGACTCTTCTCTGCATTAATCCGCCAAATTTATTAATATAGTGGTCCAAGAATAAACTGGTACTTTCCACCTCCAATATATAACAATGTCACCTCTTTTTAAACTATGTTGTAATTGTTGTTAACAGATGCCTGAGGCGTTGTGTTCATTCTCCTCCCTGCCTGACGGGTGATTAGACACTCATCATATGCATACTTGCCAGGAAAACATTGCACCAAACACAGTATGTCCCCATTTCTTCGCAGTTTGTTAACTATTTCATCCACTTATTTGCGAATTCTCAGTTGCAAGTCCACACATCCGCCGCATCAATTAGGCCATCTTTCATTCCAGTGATAATTTTACAAGAAATTACTTTCCACACCAATCCCAATTGTTTAAACACAGAAGGAAAACATGCCCCATTTGAAGCATAATTTGATCAAAAGGTCTTTGAATTTGTTTAGACTTCTTTGCTACACCGACTTGCTGTCATGATTGGGAACTTGTAAAATGCATTCCCCTTTTTTCGTGTACATCATTAAAATGCATTCACTTCTGTTAGTTCATCAATGCGATGCGATCGGGAGCAATTGTAGCTACATGCCGCCAGCATGGAAACAAACAAAAGTCCTGGATAAATTTACTGTGCGTGATTTAAACCTGTCTACTTTACAAAGAGGTTCGGATTCTTGCCACATTGACTTGGGTTAAAAATTATGGTCCACAAGTAACTCTAACAACCCATATCATGGAGCGCACTATCCAATGATAGATGCATCAGCTTCAGAGGGACCCCACTGCTTCTAATCAGAACAGGGGTTTGTGTGCCTTTATTGACATTGTGACATGCCATTGGGGTGTCATGAACAATGTAAATGATTACAAAGCAATTGTTTCTGCCTGCAAGTAAAAGATCGGAGAAATCAGGCTAGTTGGTGTCACCTGCTGACTGGCTGTCACATAGAGGGGCTGACTGGAGCGGAGAGGAAGACTTCTGGTATTGCAAAGTAAGGCAACCAATAGATCCACTGCCAAATCACGCATCCAGCACTCCATTCCTAGGTGGCTGGAGTTGCTTTGCGAGTGTGTGGTATCCTGCAGGCACAGCTATTCTTTTCAAGGTGCTCATTCGCTGAAGACCATACATTAAACAGCCCCCCACATCTGCTCCCCTATCTACTCCATGCATTATGGAACAGCTTGAAGGTGCTCGAGATAATCACCTTCTGGGGAAGCTGGCAGGTCTCGTAAATCACAGCGCATTACAGGCAGACCGCATTCCTTTAATCACCGCAAAATTTTTGCCAGAGAATAGTTACACCTTATCTGTGAGATGGAAGGGAGAGCGACGGTACCCCTCACATCCACAGACTCTTTCCTTGTAGTCCTTTATGATTACATTTCACCATCTGGTGACTGCCTCCCAGATTCTTTCTGATGGGATCGTAAATAGTTGTGAATGCCTCCGAGTTGCGTACTTCCGGAGGCGAAATTTGATACTTGCCAGTAGTGGGTGTTACTTTTCCACAAAATTTAACCAATTGAGTGGATATTTCAAGGTAAAATAAAATAATAACGAAAGCATTTAGGTGAACATCTATTTATCCCTTTTGTATAAAAAGTGCCTAACAAGCAAGCAAAAGGGGTAAATTCTTATTAAGTAGTATATTTTATGGTCAAGATGCCGCCTAATAAGGGCGTTAAAAAGCGTTAGTGAAATTCAAATGTTGCGGTTTTGAATAAAAGAAATCCTCTTTTATCCTTCTCTAAACGGGGTGCGAGCTTTGTGGGAAATTCAACACCATCAAGCCGTCCCCCTCGGGGTGACAGGAGGGACCAAGGCTACGCCACTTTCGAATCCCCTTTCCACTTTCCAATCCTTTATTTGAATTCTTCTGTGATCCTGTCAGTGTCTAATATCTATGCCAGGGAAAGATGATGGTCGCTTAGTAGACAAGCCTCCGGCGCATGATGCGGAGAACATGGGGGAGAGAAAAGGCGAGAACAAGGATAATGCACTGCTTATGGTCCCATACCAACTGAGGTTGAACTCTCATAAGCAAGTTTTGCCGTGACACAAGAAAGAAAATCCCTTGTTGTGTTGAGAAAGTGGTACTCTCTTCCGACTGACTCACTAGTCCAGCTTCTTTCCCAAGAAGTATGTATTCTTCACTACCTTCGAATTGCGCCATCAAGCCTGAAACAAAAAGATGTCAGACGCTTCCTGATGCTCAGCCTTCAGGAAATGAACACCTCGGCGTTGGTAACTATGTTTGCAGAGCACCACGTGCTCACAAAGCATGATTTTTCCGTACCTAATACAGTGTTGGATTCGTGGTAGGTTCACGAAGAAGAAGAAGAAGACAGTTTTAGAATCAGTATAGATGATCCTTACGAAGAATACAAGGGATGAAGGGATGATGACGTCACTACATGCAGTGGTCAAGGCCAAGGACGTACTTTTACGACCCATTATTATCCAGCACCAGGGTTATCTATAGGCCAGTTAGAGGCAGGCTAGTCCACTCCAGACTGGTGCAGGCGCTGTCCATCACAGGATGACAGGCAGGCAGGCAACCATACCACCGTGCAGCTTGTGTTGATGGGCCAGAGTGCCTTGTCAACTCATGAAAATTTAGGGAAAGAAGACTACCGAGTGACTGTCCAGCAGAAAGTAAACATCTAATTTAGGTGAATTTGTCCTGCCGTCTCCCTGGAATGCTCACGCTTGCAGCCTAACCAGTCATTCAGGCAGTTCAGAACATCAGATCTCATTTCCCTTCCTTGTGTAACTTACAAAGTCCCAATTTGACCTAACCACGCCAATTTAAACGCTGTCTTATTAATTTTTAAATTATAAACTAAAAAATAGCCTGCTAAAGATTGGTTAACATTTGGCTGTTTTGAAGCGACCTTTCATTTTCCAACACGAAATACACCCTCATTAAAATGTGTACCCGTTCGAGGGGAACATGATGAATGGAGTTGAAGCAGACGAGCAGGAGGAGATAGGGAGGAGAAAAAGAATAGAGTCGAAAAGTATTTTACGTTTTCTCCTGTCACAGGTAACGTTTT